TCCGCCTCATCCTCCCCTCCCGCACTCCCGCGCCCCCTGTTCCTCCTCCTCCTCCTCCTCCTCCTCCTCCTCCTCCTCCTCCTCCTCGGTCTCCTCCTCCTCGTCATCCTCACCTCTCCTCTCCTCGGAGGGGGAGGTCGGAGGAGGACGTGGGGTGTGGAGGGGAAGGTGGCGGAGGAGGGGGGGCCGTCTCGGACTCTCGGAGGAGGCTCCCCCTCCTCCGACGCCTCCCGCCCTCGCCTCCTCCTCCTCCTCCCCTCCTTCTCCTCCTCCTCCTTCCTCCTCCTCCTCCGCTTCCTCCTCCTCCTCCTCTTCCTCCTCCTTCTCCTCTTCCTACGCCATCTTCATCCCCCCCACCCCCTCCCTCCCGCCCTCCCGCGTCCCCTGTTCCTCCTCCTCCTCCTCCTCCTCGTCCTCCTCCTCCTCCTCCTGCACCTCCTCCTCCTCCTCGTCGTGGTCCTCCTCGTCGGAGGACGTGGGATGAGGGGAAGGTGGCGGAGGAGGGGGAGCCTTCCCGGACTCTCGGAGGAGCCCCCCCCTCCTCCGCCGCCTCCCGCCCTCGCCTCCTCCTCCTCCTCCTCCTCCTCCTCCTCCTCCTTCTCGTATTCCTTGTTATCAGAATCCTCCGTCTTTTCTTCTGATTCTTCTTCTCCTCCTCCTCCTCCTCCTCCTCCTCCTCCTCCTCCTCCTCTTCCTCCCCATTTCCCTGTTAGTCTTCTCCTCGCCCCCTCCCCTCTGCCTCCTCCCCTCTCCTTCTCCTCCTCGTTCTCGTCCTCTCTTCTCTCCTCCTCTTCCTCCTCTCCTCCTCCTCCTCCTCCTCCTCCTCCTCCTCCTCCTCCTCCTCCTCCTCCTCCTCCTCCTCTCCTCCTCTTACAGCAGCTTCATCCCCCCCTCCTCGTCCTCGTCCTCCTCCTCCTTTTCCTCCCCCCCCTCCTCCTCCTCCTCCTCCTCCTCCTCCTCCTCCTCCTCCTCACCTTTCCTCTCCTCGGAGGGGGAGGTCGGAGGACGACGTGGGATGAGGAGGAGAAGGTGCGGCGCCCGGACAAAAAGTGTCCACGCCGACGGCGTGAAGACAACCAGGCTCGCCTCCCCTCATCCCCAAACCCAAAGGTGAAGTGTCCAGATGATGTCCCCCGCGCTTTGCCTCGCACCCAAACCCGTCACCTTTGGGGGGGGGCGGGGGCTGTGGATGTTTGTTCGACGCAATTCGATGTCGTATCATATTAGCGCGATGGGTGTGGACACTTTTTGTCTTCCCTCCGTGGCAGAGGAGGGCGAGCATGCTCGGACTCTTGGAGGAGGCTCCCCCCTCTCCGCCGCCTCCCGCCCTCGCCTCCTCCTCTTCCTCCTCCTCCTCCTCCTCCTCATCATCATCATCAGCATCATCATCATCGTCATCGTCATCGTCGTCATCATCATCGTCATCAGCATCATCAGCATCATCATCATCAGCATCATCATCATTAGCATTATCATCAAGAGCATTATCAGCATCAGCATTATCACCACCACAATTATCATTAGCATCACCATCACCAACATCAGCATTAGCATCAGCATCAGCATCAGCAGCATCAGCATCAGCATCAGCATCAGCATCAGCATCAGCATCAGCATCATCATCATCATCATCATCATCATCATCATCATCATCATCATCATCAGCATCAGCATCACCATCGTCATCAGCATCAGCACCAGCATCAGCATGAGCATGAGCATCAACAGCATCATCAGCATCATTAGCATCATCAGCATCATCATCCTGGTCTTGATCCTCCTCCTCCTTCTCCTCCTCCTCCGCCTTCGCCCCCTCCTCCTCCCCTTCTATTCTTGCACCATCGTCAGGCCTCCTCCCTCTCCCCTCCCGCGCCCCCTCCTCCTCCTCCTCCTCCTTCTCCTCCTTCTCCTCCTTCTCCTCCTCCTCCTCCTCGGAGAAGGTCGGAGGAGGACGTGAGATGAGGAGGGAAAGGTGGCGGAGGAGGGGGAGCCTTCTCGAAGGAGGCTCCCCCTCCTCCGCCGCCTTCCGCCGTCGCCCTTGCCCTCCTCCTCCTCTTCCTCCTCCTCGTCCTCCTCCTCCTTCTCTCCTCCTTCGCCCCCTCCTCCTACTCATCCTCGTCCCCCTCCTCCTCCTGGTCCTCCTTCGCCCCCTCCTCCTACTCGTCCTCATCCTCGTCCCTCTCCTCCTCCTACTCCTCCTCCTCCTCCTCCACCTCCTGCTCCACCTCCTCCTGCAGGGGGGCTCAAGTACCAAGGCCGCTGCTCCTCGAAACTCTCCTGGGGTGCACCCTGACTGGTCGATCTCGGGAATAATTCAGCCAAGGCGACGGGTGATCTCGGAGATGAGCAGCGGCACGGGCACCTAACCTCCCCCTCCTCCTCCTCCTCCTCCTCCTCCTCTTCTTCCTCCTGCTCCCTCCTCCTCCTCCCTCCTCCTCGTCCTCATTGGTCCTCCTCCTCCTCCGCCTCCTCCTCCTCCTCCTCCTCCTCCTCCTATTGGTCCTGCGCCCCTCACGGGCACACGCCATTAAGGATCCGCGGATCTGGCGCGACCTGGCGCCAGATCCGTGCATCAGGGAAGGCTCCCTCCGACAAAAGGAAGCCAACGCCGCCTCATCTGGCGACGGAGCGCGTCGATACCGTGTGGAAGCGAATCCCGTCACGATTATTCGGCCGGGCATGTCCTATACTTCTACAGGCGGATTTTGGGAAGAAATGGAACCTAGCCAGCAAGTACCCAAACAAATCAGACGCAGTCGAAACATCGGCCCCCGTCCATGCTCAGAAACTGTTGCTGGACATCCCTCCTGAGGAGGGACATGCCCGACTCAACACGAATACACGCTGTCGGAATCCGTGTTCGCGTCGGGAGCGGCCAAGAGGGGGGTGTCCAAGAGGACGGGGGTACAAATCACGACCGGCGGTATCTGCGCGGCCCAGCGGGGTGGCCAGGGACGTAATGAAATGAGAAGATGCGGCATGAGATCTGAGGAAATATCATGGCCCCCGCCATGATATCCCCCCCCCAAGTCGCCAGTCGGGCCTGTCCCCCTACAGGGGGATTTTCGACGATAAATAAAAAAATACCTCCCAAATAATCAAAAAATAATCCAAACATAGTCTGGGGACTATTTTTTGAATGTCTGTTGACCTCTTTGGGGCATTTTGGGGGTATGCTCTATTCGTCGTCGGAAATCCCCCGTGCAGGGGGACACGCCCGACATGTCCCCAGTCTGGGGGTAGTCGAAGCCAATCTGGCGCCAATCTGGCAGGCCCAGTCTGGCAAACGGGGGCAATCTGGCGAGGGAGCCAACGCGAATCCAGTCTGGCGAAGAACCCGAATCATCCAGTTTGGCCAGGCCAGATTGGCCCGTGGGGCCCAATCCAATCTGACAGTCTGGCCTTCGACTACCCAGCCAGTCATCACCCCCCTCTCTGCCGCCCCCGATCGCGTGCCCTTGGCCCTCCGGGCTGGGCGGGGCGCGGCGGCCGCCGTCTGCATCCGCCCCCGCGCGCGCGGGCCCCCCCCCCCCCGCGCGCGCGCGCGGCGCCGCGCGGCGGCCTGCTGGCCGAGCTCCTGGCTTGGCCCAGGAGCGGCTCCGCCAGGATCGGGACAGGTTCTCCTCCTCCTCCTCCTCCTCCTCCTCCTCCTCCTCGTCCTGCTCCTCCTCCCTCCTCCTCCTCCTCTTCCTCCTCCTCGTCCTCCTCCTCCTCCTCCTCCTCCTCCTCCTCCTCGTCCTCCTCCTCCTCCTCGTCCTCCTCTTCCTCCTCCTCGGGGCGGCAGGAGGGATGGCGGGCGGGCGAAGACGGAGGAGGTGAGAGTGGGAAAGGAGAAGGGGGGCGGGATGGAGGGAGGAGGGGGAGGATACCGAAGGGCACGGGAGCGAGGGGGGGAACGGGGAAGGCGGGAGGACGTGTTGGGAGGGATGGGGGAGGAGCGAGGGAGGAGTGACGAAAAGCAGCGGGGAGGGACGGGGGACGAGAGGGGAGGGAGGGGGAGGGGGGGACATGAGAATGGAGGAACGGGGCAAGAAATGAACAGGGGGGAATGGGCGGAACGAAGAGAAAGGACAAGGGAGGAGGGAGGGAAGACGGACGGAGTGAAGGGAGTGGGATGAGGTGGTGGTAAGGATGAGTAAAGCTATTACGAGTGCAGGCAGCGATGGTCACAAGGCAAATCATAGGCTGGCCCCAGCGCCCGCCCAAACGACGAACATACATCGGGCATAAGCCCGTAGAATCGAGAAGACCAGCCACTGTAGGCTCCGTCGGCCTGCTCTTCGCCATCGGTATCGTCGTCGTCGTCGTCGTCCTCCGCCTCCTTCTTCGTTCCTTCTGCTTCTGCTCCTCTGCAACTGAAGCCGCCTCCTCCGAGGCCAGCCTGGGCATTCCCGTGCAAAAGCAACAAAAGTTGAGCAATGGGTTGCCCCACCCATGGGTTGCGCCATGGCCGCGCCATCCATGGATTGCGCCATGCGCTGCGACATAACTTACGCCATGGGTTCCACCAGGCATGGGCTGCGACATAGAATGTTCCATACGGGTGCATGGGCGAACAGACTCGAAGGGAGGAGTGGGGCGATGAGGAAGAGCGCGCCTCTCAACAATCATACCTAACCACGTAAACATATGTTTATATTTAAAATAAACGTGCCCCAGTAACTTGCAGCATGCCGCCCAAGTAATTTCGTAAGTAACTTGCTTGCTGTCTAAAGTAGCTAGCGTAAGTAGCCAAGTTACTTTAGCGAGTTACAGCTAGGGCGCAAGTAGCATAAGTGGCACCGACCTCCAAGCAGGCGGTCGAATGCAGCGGGCGGCGGTGGAACGATCAGTTGCGGAGTCGCGACGTCGAACTGCTCGGCCTGGTACCCTAATAAATTGTCGCCATCCATCGCACCTGGGGCCCCCGCTCGAAGGGGAGGCGCAAGGTCAGCAGGCGCGGTAGCCACCTGCCCGCAAGCGGCCGCCTCCTGAAAGCTGGAGGCGATGGACATCCAATTCTAGCGCCCCTGCTCAACCATGCGTAGGTGGTATTGCAGCGCCTTGACGGTATCAGTGTGCTCGCCGTCGCGTCGAGCCAACTGCTGGGCGATGCCGTCGCACCAAGCTTGTGCACCTTGTCGCGCACGGCGGTGGCACGGCAGTCTGACTCTCAGAGCCTCGACTGCATGATGACTAATTACGTTGGCGTCCATCTCGGCGATGCGGCCAGCCTGGGCGCGCAGCTCGGCACTGTGCTGCTCCAAGCTCGCGCTGGCGGAATTGAAACCGAGTAGGTCTCAGAACCGCTTGCGTGGACGGCTCGAGACGAGCAGCCTCGGTAGCGAGCTGCTCGTGGTGGTGAGCTGCGGTGGCGGCCGCGAACTCGGCGGCGTTGTCCCCGCCGATCTGCTCGGCAGCCTGCGCCACAACCTGCCGGGCCTCTGCCTACCTGACCTCCTGGGACTCGCAGGTCTCCAGGTGGAGCTTGGCGACGTACTCCTGCTGTTCGCGGATCTGCGCCGAAAGGCTGCCGACTCGAAGTCGAGCGCAATGCGAAGGCGAACTCGGTCCTCGTGCTGCAGTACTACTCAGCGGCACAGAGCTCATTGGCGCCATGCTGCAAACGACCTTCGCAAACGCGTTCGGCCTGCGCTGTCGCCTCATCGAGCCAGCGCTTCATCACAACCTGCTCGGCCGAAGTGTTGGCGACGGCCTGCTCTGAAAGCACAACGGTGCGCTCGAGAAAGAGGGGCTCGAAGCGGCGGGGCAGATCCCGTTCCCTCGCCTAGAGCTCGCCCACCAACTCCACCTGGTGGACCTCAAGCCGTTCAGCACCAGCGGCGTTAGCACGGTTGTTGTCCATAATGCGCGACAACGCGTGGGAGAAGTCGAGCGTGTCAATGCCCTCGCCCATCCGCTCGCCGGCGTCCAAATACGACGATCTGGAGTGATCTGGGATAGGAACGACGACGTGATCCGCCTGGGCGCGAAGACCGCGCGGCGGGACTGCAGGGCGTCAAGGAGGGCCAGGGCGCGGCGGCGGTGGGCCAGCCTGCGTTGCTGCGAAAATCTCAGGTAGCACCAGGCCGAGCTCGTCGGCGGTCGGAACGAGTTGAGCGCCAGTCTCACGAGAACTCGCCACGCGTGGAGCTCTTCGGCTGATACCCTCTGGTCGCCGACTCCGTCCAGTGGGTCATCTATGGCCTCGAATGGTCAACAACCCCGGCAGTCCAAGGACGGAGGTGTCTGTTCCCACACAGAGCACTAGCTCAGGAACGAAGCCCCTCCTCCTTGGCCCCAAGACCGCCTGCGTGGACGAGGAGCCCTGGAATGAGAAAAAAAAAAGAACATGGAGAGGCGCCAAAGACATCGAACCCCTCCGAACCCAAACTGCTCCTTGCTTCCGCGTCTGGGCCGTAACGCCCGTGCCCCGCCTTCCCCCCCTCCTGTCGGGCGTGGGCAGAACTGGGTTTCGCGGGACCTGGCCTACTGATTCGGGGATCCTCTGACCCGGGTCAATCCAGACCCGGGTCAGCAGGAAACCAAAAACTGCAGTGCAGGAACAAAAAACTGCGACGCAGGTCTTCGCAAACCCGGGTCAACCAATGGGCGCGGCCGCCTCGCGGCCACGAGCGGCTCGCTGACCCGGGTCAGCCAGAGGGGGTTTCGCAGAATCCTGCAGGATCCGGCGGCCTGGCTGACCCCCGTCTGCACTGACCCCCGTCTCGAGGCTCCCGACTGATGTGCACTGGGGACGCCTCCCCCGCCCACGTTCCACTGACTCGGACTGCCGTCACCCGAAGAAACACAGGGTCACGGCAGGCCTGGTTTAGTGACTCCGGCCAGTTCGGGGGCTCCAGGGCCCCACCACTCACCAGGCCCCCTTACCTGGAGCAGAGCAGAGCAGAGCGGCCAATAGTCCGTCCGGCGGGACGGCTCCGTAGTGCGCTCCGCGCACGGCGAGGCCGTACATGTGCGCGGTACTGTGAGACCGTGGAACAGTGAAACGTCAGACGCTGGAGGACACACGCACGAAGGCAGAGAGGGACGCACGACAAGTGAAAGGACGGGAGGCGGAGACAGAGGAGAGGGAGGGACGAACGACGAGAAGGACGACGGAGGGCACGGCTATACCTGGGTGCCTGGATATACCCGACCCTGGTCGCGTCCCGATGCGTGCCGGCGCGGTCTGGAAAGAGGCCATTCTCAGGCAGTCCCAGACGGCGCCAGCGAGAGTCGTGGCGTGACTGGCCCCCTACGCCCCGTTCCCCCCCTCCCCCCCAGGCACGCTCTGTTCTCGCCAGGGGATGCGAGGTCTCTTCTCGGGCAGGGGCCCTCGGACGAGGCAGCGCAGAGAAGGGCGAGGCGGGGCAGGGACGAGGAGGGGCCGGCAGGAGGAGGTTATGTGCGCACTCATGGTAGCCTTGTTGAGACATGACATCCCAAATTAACGTTGAATTAGTGTTACCTTAATCGGTTCGCGTTCGTCGTGGCGACTTGGTCATCCAATGTGTTCGCTGATGAATGCCCCTGCTGGGCCGTTGGAGGGATGGGTGTGCACTGGGGAGGGGGGGTGGATGGAGTGCACGAGAGCGAGAGGGGCGGAGGCGGAGGGGGCGAGGCAGCGGTGCGGAGCACGTTTTCCGCGACAAGTGATGAGCATGCAGAGCACGCGTCTCGTTGGCCAGACCGCAACCGTCGGGCAGGCGACGGCGGAATATCATGCACCGTCGAAAATGTGGGCTGGATGGTCCCAGCGGAGCGGTCAACCGTGGACGAGTGAACACGCACAATAGATGGACAGGCACGATTATTGCAACGCATCCCCATCGGCAGGAAGACCTCCCCTTTCGAAGGCAGGGCGCTGCACACTGACAAGATAACTACATGAAGCTGTAGCCAGAAGCTGCGCGCACACGTCATGCGTGGGCCGGCAACGAATCCAACCTACTTGGGGGGGCGTCGCAATACCAGACAAGGGTCCTGCTGGTAAAACGTGGGTTGCCACGCAGACCAATTACTGCATTCGATAAGGACGACGTTGAAGTCGACGAGGACGATGACGAACGACAACACAGTGATGTCCTCGACGTGATGATCCTTCACCGTGCCCCCTGGCACGTTGTGGCGTGGTAGAATGCCAACTGCCTGGTCGGCTTTTTGTACTCTGAACAGAGACCCAACCCTGTAGTAGCAGACCGCTGAAGGCATCCCCCTTACATACAAGTCGTGTTCCTGCTAAGTGGGCTTCTGTTCTGCTAAGTGGGCTCCAGATGTGCTTGATCCAGTTGTCAGCTCCGCCTCCTGCTGCTGGTCTTGTTTTTCCTCCTCGTCGTCCTCCTCCTCCTCCACTTCCTCCTCCTCGTCCTCCTCCCCTTCCTTCCTCTTTTCACGTCCTACTAGCCCCTCGTCCTCTCCCTCCTCCTCCTCCTTGCCTTCCACCCTCACCTCCACCCTCCTCCTCCTCCTCCTCCTCCTCCTCCTCCGCCTCCTCCCCCACCACCTCCTCCTCCCCTCCTCCTCCACCACTCCTCCTCCACCCTCCTCCTCCTTGCCTCCTCCTCCCCCCTCCTCCTCCTCCTCCTCCTCCTCCTCCTCTTCCTCCTCCTCCTCCTCCTCATCCTCCTCCTCCTCCTCCTCCCCCTCCTCTGCCTCGTCGCCCTTCGGCGGCCTTCAGCGGCCGTCGGTGGCTTTCGGCAGCCCCTGGCGGCCTTCGGCGGCTTTCGGCGGCCCTCGTCGTGTTCCTGCTAAGTTCGCTTCCGATGTGCTTGATCCTGTTGCCAGCCCCGCCTCCTGCTCCTGGTGTTGCACTGTGGTTCATGCCAAGTTGCACGGAGAGACCTGGAAAACAACTCCACATCCTCCTCATCGCGCTCCTTCTCTCCCTCGCTCTCTCTCTTTCTCTCTCTCTCTCTCTCTCTCTTTCTCTCTCTCTCTCTCTCTCTCTCTCTCTCTCTCTCTCTCTCTCTTTTTATCCCGCATCCCCCACAGTGGAAGCCTCTGTCTCATGCCCATCTGCACTTGCATTTTGCATATGCTGCATTGCACTTGCATGGAATGCCATTGCATTGCATTGCATTGCATTGCATTGCATGGCATTACAACGCATGGGATTGCATTTCTGTTGCGTCACTTCCAATTGCGCTGCGCTGCGTTGCGTTGAGAGTTCCTCGCAACTCTGGGCTCCGAGCTGCCAGGGGCAATGTGGCCTGGCCCATTTCGCCTGACTCATCCTCGCAACTCTGGGATCCAATATGCCACGCGCGAAGTGGTCCAGTCCATTTCGCCTGAGACGTCCTCGCAACTCTGGGCTCAGATATGCCCCTAACCTGAGGATGTCCAGCCCGTTTCGCCTTAGACATAATCGCAACTCTTGGCTCAGACATGCCGAGCGCGAGGTGATCTGGAAAAGCTTATTTCAGACATTCTCGCCTGAGACATTCTCCTCAACTCTGCGAGATGCCGCGCGCGAGGTGGTCTGGCCAATTTCGCCTGAGACATCTTCGCAACTCTGGGCTCCCAGATGCCGCGCGCGAAGAGGTGCGGCCCGGCTCGCTTGAGGATCCTTGCAAATCCGGGCTCATATATGTCCTGGATTGATGTGGTTCGGGCCCATTTCGCCTGAGACCTCCTCGCAGCTCTGGGTTCCGAGATACCTCTCGCGAGGTGGTCTGGCCCATTTTCGCCAGAGGCATCATCGAAACTCTGGAATCGGAAATGCTCTGACTGAGTTGGTCCAGCACGATTCGCCTGTGACATCCTCGCAACACTGGGCTCAGATATGCCCTGACCTGAGGTGGTCTGGCCCCATTCGCCCGGGGCATTCACGCACCTCCGAGATCCGAGATGCCAGGCGCGAGGTGGCCCAGTCAAACTCGCCTCCGACCTCCTCGCAACTCTGGGTTCCGAGATGCCGCGTGCGAAGCGGTCTGGCTAATTTTGCCTGCGACATTTTCGCAACTCTGGGCTCCAAGATGTCGCGCGTGGGCTCAGGGACACTCTGACATAAGGTGGTCCAGCCTGTTTCGCCTGGGACATCCTCGCAACTCCAGGCACAGAAATGCCGCGTGCGAGGTGGTCGGGCCCGTTTGGCCAGAGGCATCATCGAAACTCTGGGATCGGAAATGCTCTGACTGAGTTGGTCCGGCACGATTCGCCTGTGACATCCTCGCAACTCTGGGCTCAAATATGCCCTCACCTGAGGTGGTCTGGCCCCACTCGCCCGGGGCATCCACGCAACTCTGAGATCCGAGATGCCAGGCGCGAAATGGCGCAGTTAAACTCGTTTCAGACCTCCTCGCAACTCTGGGCTCCCAGATGCCGCGTGCGAGAGGTCCAGCTAATTTTGCCTGCGACATCTTCGCAACTCTGGGCTCCAAGATGTCGCGCGCGCGGGCTCAGGGATACTCTGACATAAGGTGGTCCAGCCT